GCATTGGGCTATCTGCTGTGTTCCCCGCTGGCATCTAACCCCGGATTTTATCGTTATAAGTCTGTAGATTTACCGCTGTCCTATAGGGGAACCCTATGTGTAGGTGTTTGTAAAATATTTCTTACTGTTGTTGACATAAGAAAAAGACGTAATTCAAAAAGAACTTTCCTGTTGACTAGATTGTCCATACGTTTTAGGCTTAGGAATGACGCTCTCCTCCTTATTCTTGGTGATATTTTTGAAACTGTTAATTCTAGATGAAATTCGGGGAGATTTGTTGCCACTTGTTAAGAGCTTGTTACTCCAGTTAACATGGGCTGGTTGTGTTACTTTCTTCCCATCATCGAACACAAATGTATGTTTTAAGCTAGGTGTATGAGGCGCTGGACACACTGACGTACCTTCCAAATGATTATCCAAATGAGGGATGCAGGGCAAAGGATTGGTATTCTGAGCGGCGTCTCGTCTTTCAACTGAATGTGTTAGAAGAAATATATTTTGATGAAAGAAATGTAAAAAGAAAATGTTTTGTGTTTTTCAAATAGCGCAGTAACGAAAAGAAAACAATAATTTCTTCTAGTTCTTTAGATGAAACGGAAAAAATCCTACGATGATTGAAAATGAATGTACTTCTGTATATTCACGATGACAAAAAATAAATATTGTATTTCTGACACAAAGACAGAATATATTCAATTTCTATATAATAACGAATAAAACAAATAAATACTGTATTTTTGTTTACTCGCGAAGTATTTTGTTCACTCGCGAAGATCCAAAGAAACAACTAGATATGACATTCTGAATATCCACGAGGACGTAAGAAAACAAGAGAATATTATATTTCTTGACGTTTGTAAAGATAAAAATGTCAGCTTAAATACTGCAGTTCTACACTTTTAATAAGATGGAATGGAACAATAAAATACAACTTGCATACTTTTACATAGGGAATATTTTAAATCAAAATAAAGATGTGATTCAAAACTAATTGTTTAAAACAACTATCTCACCAGTAAGGGAATGAAGAGACTGAACTGAACTTCTACCACGACTGAGATAACTTAATGACTGGGTTAGAACAGACTGACGAGATCGGATCATTTTTAAATAGAATATTTTTTTCTTTTATCTGGTTGCAGGTCCAGCAAGAAATACGTAAAATATGTCAGCACTGGTGGATCAGAAACACTCATTCCAAAAAAATATTAATGTGTATGGTTTACCTATTATATTAATTAATGTTAATTTCTTTGTAAAAACTATTATAACTGTATGACGAATTTACCAGTTTTCATTTTATTATAAAGTATAATGCAAAAATCAGGGTTCGATTCTCTGCTGTATACAGAGTGCGGATAGCCTACTGTGTAGTTTTGCGCTAAATCAAACCAAACTATTTGATTAAATCATGAGTTTTTAGATGGGTGTTAGACGCCCTCAAGCATGACAGCTTGAGACTACTAAGTTATCATGTTTCGTTTGTATAATATGTTTTTGTTTAGAATATATACTTTTCCCCAAAATGTCCTTGAATTTAGCATTTTAAGAGACTTTGATAGGGTCACATTGGTACAAAAACAATATATTTTCTAAAGTGGAAGATACTGGAAAACCATTTGTGGTTTATAGCAAAGTGAATTGCCATTATTGTTTGTGGCAAAATTTTGGCTGCTTTAGTGGGACGAGTTCTTTGTCCCAACCATGAAAGACTAATAGCATTTATGGTATAACTTTTGATATGCTTCACTATAGTATTTATAGTTATAAGTATTGTTGTTTATGGCCGTTTTATAGACTGTTCTGGGTACATTGTAATTGTCTGTATTACTTATCTATAAGCACTGGCGTAACTTTGGTTTTAAAAGGAGGTGGGAGACAATTTCTGTAGTTGGGATATGGATAAGGGTATTATGTAAAATAATTATTTAAAAAAAGTGCGGGAGCATGTTCCCATGTCCCCCGTGAAAATTACGCCTATGGCTATAACCAATATTTATGTTTTGATATGGAATCACTCCTGTAACTTCTACTACATATCTCATGTCCTCGACACACTGTTATAAGTTATACCAGTTATTTTTTTGCGGGCAGAGTCCTATAACGTGCCATCCTGATGGGTTAGTAGTAACCAGTGAAGCTTAGAACGTTCAAGTTTTGGATTTGATCCCTGCAGTGGGTACAGCGCAAATAACCACAGTGCTATAACCAAAACAAGCTTACAATTTATATTATTCGTCCTTAAACCTATATTACTTACCTCTGTTTTTGTAGGGTAAAAGACTAAGTGATATCCTGTACGGGATAATAGCATCTTTTACTTTTAAGAACGTTCATTGATTATTGAAGAAATTTACTAATCATTTTGTCTTTGATATTTAAATAGTCCCCAGTCGAAATGTTTTTGTTATCTCTCGTGTCAGGTGATATACCGTAATAGACATTGCAAATTGAGTTTCTATAATCTATTATTCTGTAGTGTATTTATCAGATGTATGTTGGAAAATTTTACAAAAAAAATCAATTATATCACCTTGCAGAACTGTTATCGTTTTGCTTATTCTCTTACACTTAGGTAAGTTCAGGGTCCAGCTGAATTTTTTTCAAAGATCTAAAAATAAACATTTCTGGAAGATGATTCCACAATCCTGCAGCATATCGTCTAAGGTCTTAATCTATACCACATCCACAATCATGGAGCATATCATCTTAGGTCTTAATCAATACCACATCCATAATCCAACAGCATATCATCTATGGCTGTAATCTATACCACATCCACAATCCTTCAGCATACCTTCTATGGCTGTAATCTATACCACATCCACAATCCTTCAGCATACCATCTAAGGCCTTAATCTATACCACATCCACAATCCTTCAGCATACCATCTTAGGTCTTAATCAATACCACATCCATAATCCAACAGCATATCATCTATGGCCGTAATCTATACCACATCCACAATCATTCAGTATATCATCTAAGGCCTTAATATATAGCATACTTTTGTTCTGTTGTTTTTCGTTTTTCAAAAATTGCGAAAAGTTAATATCATTTTATTTTATTTTAAATTGGCTACTTACAAAGAAGCTGTACAAAAATCAGGTAGTTTGCACCTAATATTCTTTCAGGGCTGAACTAGTATTATCCCTAAAGATATTACCTGCTTTCATACTTATGTAAAGATGCTGTTATATAATGTTTCATATATGTATAAGGTATCATCTCCCTTAGCTGATTAATTCGTTTAGCTGATCATTAACCTTTTGCTACATTCTGACACTTCATTACTGTCATGTTTTCACAGATATTAGGTCTCACATCCCTTGGCTGAGTAATTTTTTAGCTGATCGTTAACCTTTTGCTACATTCTGACACTTCATTACTGTCATGTTTTCACAGATATTAGGTCTCACAGTCCCTTGGCTGAGTAATTTTTTAGTCTGATCGTTAACCTTTTGCTACATTCTGACACTTCATTACTGTCATGTTTTCACAGATATTAGGTCTCATATCCCTTGGCTGAGTAATTTTTTAGCTGATCATTAACCTTTTGTTTTTGATAAAAGATGTTCATTGACTCTCTAGATTCTGGCATTTCCAGTTTCTAACGGTCAAGGGGATCAAAGATGACTGTTCACCCAATAAACGTACTTCTGTTTGTAGAATTGTTCTATCAACTCCGTCGTCTTACCTTATTGGTGTATTCATGCTTATGTTTGTCTTAATAATTTCAAATTTTCTCCTTTTTTTTCAGCTATTATCTTAAGGCAATATACTACTTTCCTCTTATTGAAAAGTGTAATTGTTTTCTCATTATGACAACGCACGCACCTACACAGGGGCACCAGCTTTGATGCCTTCGATAATGGGCTTTTATGACTGCTCCCATACAGACACAGGTATCACGTCACGTGATATGTATCTCCATAAAAACACTTTTATTGTTAACTCACATACAATTAACAACAATATGTAAAAACTAAAAACCATATTATATTTGTTATTGACGTTAAGAAATTGACAAGAAAAAAAATTCTTGACATGGCAAACAGTCTGTTAATCGACATTTTTACTATTGGTAACCATTCGTGACCAACACTGCCCTAGAACCAACAGACCAACAGAAATACTTGTTAGTTAAATATGTGACTTAGCAAATTCTGGGGTAAAATAAAATGCTGCAATTTAAGTAACTAAGTAAACTAAGTGCTCAACTATATATACATATATACACATCGGCCAACCATCTTATTCTTATTATCTGAGCGTGTAGACGAGTTACGTACCACTCTACAGTACTCAACTACCGACCAACAATCTTATTCTTATTATCTGAGCGTGTAGACGAGTTACGTACCACTCTACAGTACTCAACTACCGACCAACAATCTTATTCTTAAAATCTTAGTGTGAATGGATATTATGTGCCTTTTTACAGTACTACTATCGTTCAATAGTCTTAGTCTTATGACCTTATCGTGTATAGGAGTTACATACCTTACAAAATAATCATCTATGGGCTAACATTTTCGTTATAGTACTACTCAGTTATTGGCCAACAATCTTATTATTATGAATCTTAGCGTGTATAAGAGTTATTTACCTCTCAACAGTATATACTTACTGTCGGCCAACAATATATTTATTTTATGAGCTTGGTGTCTGTGGGAATTATGTACCTCTCTATAATATGTACTAATTATCGGTCAACAATCTTATTCTTATGATATTAACGTGTATGAGAATTATGTATCTCCTCCACAGTACTCAACTTTGTTTGTTTGTTATTAAACACAAAGCTACTGTGCTATGCACACCACGGGTATCGAAACCCGGTTTTTAGCGTTATAAGCTTTCAGAATTACCACTGAGCCACTGGGAGGCCAGTACTCGACTATCGACAAACAGCTTTAGTTTTATGATATCAGCATATATAATTTCCACAACTCAGAAAATGATCAATTTCAACAGGTCAGAGAATCTTCAAAATTTATCAAAATGAACTCACCTCTCCATTACTGAAGCAGTACAACAGAGCAACAAAACATCCCTGTAAGAATGATAAAACTAATTATTAACAAGAATACATAGACAAACACTACCAAAGTATTTTTAGATGAAGACCTGAATGTTTTTTATACATTAAACATTATTATACTTTGCAATGCATAATCAACTTAGCTTTAGCTTTTATATAATGTTGAAAACGCAGCATGATTTTTGACTAGTATTACTGTTGCAAGATTTGAAATAATAAATGTACAATTTTGTAAAGCATTTTTATAATATATTCAAACTTTTTCCTCAAATACAATTCATGGAAACATTGAACCATTGTATACAACAAGAAGTCGTTTTCCGTCTTAAAAGTATGGTTTTCCTCTTATTGATATAGTGATTATAAATGCAAATATCTTATAGACTTTCTTAACTTTATAGATAATTACAAACCTTAAGGCACATACTATCATAAACTGAGTATTAACGTATATGTCTTGTTCAGCTTATCCCCCCCCCCCAAGATTTATACTTAGAATATATAGTAAAGGAAATAGATTCTTACTTGGAATGAGGAAAATAAAAGATCGATATATAACCAGGTTAGCTCGACGATCTGGTTCACTCCAATAAAGAAGGACATTCCTAACAATACAGCATAGTGGACACCAAATAATGGTACCAGAACTAACGTAGAACGGAACCACTTCCTACGGTAAAGAATAAATGAATATATATATATATATATTCATGATATATGTATATTCTTTACAGTAGGAAGTGGTTCCGCTCTCTCTCTCTCTCTATATTCCACGGTAGTGGTTCATAATAGAGATCACCCATTTGTTCTTCCTTATTATTATTTAATATTGTTCTGCCAGCCTATAGCATAAATGGTTGTTAGTATTGTAATAAAACTTGAACAGTATTATTAAACGCATCATTGCGCAATGTGTAAGGTAGTTTTTAAGTTTATTTGACTACCTAGCATATAACAGTGACTGTATAACCGTTGATACCCAATCATTTTAATGTTGTCTGTAGTTTATATGGAGACTCATAATATCCTACATGCATACGTAAAAACTGTAATATTTAGGATAGTATAACACTTATTTATTGCCGAGTAATAATGGCGTTGGAGGCCATGGCAGACATAAACATTTCATATGTAAAAACTGTAATATTTAGGAAAGTATAACACTTATTTACTGCCTAGTAATAATGGCGTTGGAGGCCATGGCAGACATAAAAATTTCCGTGACAATATTTATTAAAGTGTATCTTAAAAAAAATTGTTTCCACTTTATTTATTTATTGATAATGCGTTCACGTAAGGATCAGTGACTCATAATTTTTTGTTTGTTTTTTAACTTTGCCCAAAACTACTCGAAAACTATCTGCGCTAGTCATTCCTTATTTATAGGTGATGGACCAGAGAGAAGGCAGTTAGTCAACACCATATACCACCAATTCTTGTGTGCCAACGATCAGTGATTTTTTACATTATAACGCCACCACGGAGGAAAGGGTGAGCATGTTTAGTGACGAAATTCGAACCCACGACCCTCAAATTGCGAGTCGAGCACCCTCAGCTCCAGGCCGTGGTAAGCTTAAATTTTTTAGTCAAATGTGTTTTGAATCACAGTCCCAATTACAAACTAGCGCTCCAAGTAACGGCCTACACTTCTGTTTACCTACATGTCATTCTCATCTGAAATAGCAGGGCCGAGAGTGGCCTAGTGTTTAACGTACTGAGCTGGGAATCTGAGAGTCTATGGTCCATATCCCTTTGCCGCAAAATCGCGCTGAACAATTTGGAGTTATGTGTATATTAGACGAGTGTCGGAGAGTGCTTCTGAGTAACTCCCTTTCCTCTAGTCTATCAGTTTAATATTAGGAATGAATAGAAATCCTATAACCCGAGCGCTTTCAAAAGGTGGACCTTTCTTCTTCAGGGACAAGAAGAAGAAGAAAGATCCACTTTTCGAAAGCGCTCGGGTTATAGAGTTTTTTTTTTTTTTTTTTT